TCTGTTACACCAAATACACAAAATAATGATCTTTAAAATAGCATCATATGACCCCTTTAAGTGTTTCTTTTATAGCACTTTATCTATTTGTGTCAATAGATTTCAATTATAATTTATATTTTTAAAAGCCGTTTTCTCAAAATGAGTTTTTTCTCATACATTGAGCCATAAATCTCCACTTCAGTAGCACTTACACACACCAAACTTTACATTTTTATTCCTGTCTCACTAGAGCAAGCGTTATTATGGATTATGGACTGGTATTTAAGTTAAAACATGCAGCCTTTTACTTCACAAGACATTAATTGATTTAAAACAGACTGGTGTCGTGTGGATTATTGTGATGTTTTTATCAGCTGTTTGAACTCTCATTCTGACGGCACTCATTGGCTGCAGAGAATTCACCGGTGACGGCGGTGAGTGATATAATGCTAAATTTCTCCAATTCTTTTCCGATGAAGAATCAAACTTATTTTGGAAATCCTGAGTGTTGAGTAAATGTTCAGCAAATTTTCATTTTGGGGTGAACTATTACTTTAACAATAATGTGATGTTAAAAGATTTCTCTTCTTGTCTCTTTTAGCAATAACAGAGTACGGATGGTATGTCTGCCCAGCTTTCCTCATCCCTCCGATCTCTTCTGGAAGTATCTGGATCTTGCCACCTTTGTCCTGCTCTATGTATTGCCTTTAGCAATTATCTCCTCATCGTACCTTGTGGTTGCCAAGAAGGTCTGGTTCCGGAATGCTGTCGGTGATGTCACGCTGGCTCAATCGGCCACTCATCGCAGAAGGAAGAAGACAACTTTGAAAATGCTAATTGCAGTGGTGGCCGTGTTTGCAGTCTGCTGGTTTCCTCTAAACTGTTACATTGTGCTGCTGTCAAGTAAAGTGATCCAGGCTAACAATGCCCTGTACTTCATCTTCCACTGGCTGGCCATGAGCTCTACCTGCTATAACCCCTTTATATACTGCTGGCTAAATCACAGCTTCCGTGCCGAACTCAGAGCCCTGCCTCTAATTGGCCGTATAGCCAAGGGCAATGCCATCCAGCAATCCTAAGGAAGCACCCAAGATTTTGCCGTTCTATTTTTTCTTTTAAAATTCTGCTGTTTTTATAAACGCATATTCGCATAAGAAAGCACTGTAGCAGATCATCTCTCTCACCTCCCAACCTAGTGGTTTATCATTTTTATCCCATCCACAGCGCTCGTTTAGTCCTCTCCATCTTAGTGAAAATGACACCTAAACCCATGTCCTTTGAAAAAAAAACGTGTTGCCATGGAAGAGATGACATAAATAAGCACGGTATGAGATGTTAAATAGAAACTTTATTCTATTTTTCAAGAACAAAATCAAAAACACTCCATAGTGGAACACACTACATGTGTCACGTTTCTGTGCTATACACGCGCACGACGGAGTAATCAAAGAAACAGTCTTTTAATAATAAATCCACAGGAAAATAAACACAAGGAATCCAGAAGCAGGGAGTAGCACAAAACACAACTGAACAAAACAATAACCGGCAAAGGAGTGAACAGAACAGGGAGTATAAATACAAACGCAAGAGAGGGACTAATGACTTAATTAAATGAACACAGGTGAATAGAATGACATAATCAAGACAACTAGGGAAACTATAGGTCAAAGGAACTAAACAAGACAGGAGAACAGGGCCCGTATTCACAAAACATCTTAAGGCTAAAAGTAGCTCATAACTCGCCGATTTAGTAGAAAATCTTAAAAATAATGGGCGTGTCAGTCCTAAATTTAGGACTCCTAAATTTTTGTTCTAAGAGTATTTCACAAAGCGTTTTTAGTGCTAAAACTAGCTCCTAACTCTGTGAAACGTTAGGAGTAGGCTAGTGAAGAGGTCTCCTAAGTCACTAAGACCAAGTCACAAACTATCCTAAAATGGCTGTTGCCAGCAATCTACCTCGGAATATAAACATTTTAGGAACATTTGACGATAATGAGCTTTTAAAAAGGTATCGGCTTTGGTTTGGAGGTTATCCCAACTCCAAATTTTTTATTATATCCTTAATATATAGCTGTTCTCGCGTCCAGTTTGGTTTTCTTTTATGTTTGCATGTCTTACTATCAGCCATGATTATTCTACTCTGCTAATTAAAAGGCTGTTTATATGCATATTACCAAAATTGTATTAGTCGCAGAAAAAAAAAATCCACATGAAGTGGCGAAATCATGCAGTCCGTGACGGACAAATCGTTAACGGCTGGTCTATGTGGTAATATAGTAGGCTACATAGGGCAGGGCATCCATATGCTCTCCTAAATCCTAACATTCATCGACCTCAAATATGGCTTATCATCTGAAAAATGTATGTAGTAGCAACTTTACATGGCACCAGCCGGTGCAATCATTGGCTCTTGTACTTCATCATTTTTGGTCATACAGATAAGATGCATATAATGCATCTTTTATATCTGTAAAGACTCTACGTTTATTCGTGTGCACTCAGAATAACAACGAAACGTTGCGCTTTTGTTAAATAATTAAAGCAAACAGGATGCGCTTTCTGCCGTCTTGGACTATGAACGTGAGCGTGTCACATCGAAACTCTGTGTATGCTTGCCTTATTACATGAAAAATATATCTATAGAGAGTGAAACTTTTAAATGAAAAAATTTCAAATGGAAAACAAATATTCTCAGATTATGTAATCCGTATGAAACATGCATACAGGCGCATACTGCGGAGACGACGAGTCAGTGTCTCCGACTTCATCTCTTAAACCGAAAACAGAAAGCAGTAGTGTAACAATAAATTATTAAAACGTTAATGTAGTGTACTTGCTGTTTTTCCCTAACACATTCATAATTATTATTGTTGCCTGTGCACTGTGGCAAGCCTTTTTTGCATGCGCTTGAGCGCTTATTAGGCTATGTAGGCAATTAAAGGCTCATTATTATGATTTATATGGTTTATAAATAAAAGTGCGACTAATAGTCGACTAATGCTTAAAATGAACGACTACTAGTCGACCAGAAAAATCTTTAGTCGAGGGCAGTCCTAATGCATATTGACTAATTGTTTACGAGAAGCATAAGAGGCTCAACAATTAGTTGAATAGCCTACTTGTTTAATTAGTGACACTTAGCCTGCATTTTAAAATCTTTATTTGAATGTGGCACTTAACATTTTTATTTTAAAACCTTTATTTGAATATGGCAACATAATATT